ACTACACAAGAGAACGTCTGGCTGCCCTGCAAGGCCAGGCAGATGCAGGTGTCAATCATGGCTGGAAGCAAGCAGGACTGAAAAATGATAGCATTTGTGCTACCATGCAATTATTTTATGAAATCAGTTCAGTAAATGTGAACCGTAAAATGATGAACAGTGCTGCAATACTATCCATTATTTAACCTGGAAAGCACTACTTAAAGGGTCACTGGAAAGTCTATAGATATACAAAATGAAATATTCACAAAGGATCCCCAAGTTGGCAAGTTCTTATCCTCTCAGGTTTAGAACTTCACTCTATGACAAGTAACTAAAATGTGGTGGCTTCTGGTTGGTATGATGATATGAACCTCCAAGGGAAAGACATCTTTTTGTATCTGAGAGGAAGGAGTCAGAACTCAAAAGAGAGAGTAGATTGAGGCTAAGCTTCCCTAGCAGGGCAGCTAGGATCTTTACAACCTCCTGGACATGAACTGAGAAGATTTCTACCTTCAGATTGGCACTACAGAGTACATTTTGTAACAAAACCAACTGCCACAGAGACAGTTTCTTCCCAGAGGCTGTCTTTCCTGTAAGAACAATGAACACCATACAATCTGAATACTGAGCTCCTCCCACGTCAAACAGCTTGGATATGTTTTGGTGTCCCAGCTGGCCTCAGATGTGTTGGGGTGCAACGTGGAGGCAGGTCAAAAATAATAGTCTACTTATGTATATTTAGATATTTAAATAGGTGGCATTTTTCTGAAATACATTTCAAATATGCTTTCAATTGGATGTACTTTTCAAGAATATATTCAAAATTAAAAATACATACCTTTCTGAAATATATTGTTTTAAAATGTATTTTGGTAGATTATTTTTCTGTTTTGTAAAATATACATTACATTACAATTAATTACTAAAATTATATTTCAGATTTTGGTACACTTTAACAAAGGCCACTGGGTACTCAGAGACATCTCACACTTGGTTTAGATCTCTGCAACTTTCTTCACCTCAGATCTGTCAGTGCACAGCTACAGTTCAATGTCACTCTAGTAACAGTTCTGTTGAAGACTAAGGTAATTATACCTTTTTCTTACTGGTTTTGTCTGCCATATCTGAAGCCTAAACTGAAAGTGTCTGCTGATAATTGTCCAAGTGTCACAAAATATACTTAAAATGATTGGGATGCTAATTCAAATTACACTTGAGTTGGGGTTTCCATCAAAACCCACTTATTCATGAGCGTCTTCACAAACAAGAAAGTACATAAAATCTGCATCAAAAATCTCTGCTGGTGAGACATCTATTATTCTTGTTCTGAAGACAGGACCAAAAAGGGTCCCAGGTCATACTTTAGACATCCCTGCTTTTCTTATTGTTATTTAGCCTTTATTTTATCAGTATAAAAAGCTCCCATCTCAGGCAGAGATTCAAAACCTCTTCTTCAAGTTACTCCTGGCCAAGAGGCAGCAACATCCATCCATTCATCCATTTTCTTCCGCTTATCCGGGTTTTAGGTAGCACCTTAAGACGGGAGGCCCAGACTTCCCGCTTCCCAGTCATGTCTTCCAGCTCCTCCGAAGGAATCCAGAGGCGTTCCTAGGCCAGCCGAGAGACGTAGTCCCTCCAGCGTGTCCTGGGTCTTCCCCAGGGCCTCCTCCTAGTGGGACGTGCCTGAAACACCTCACCAGGGAGGCGTCCAAGAGGCATCCTAAGCAGATGCCCGAGCCTCAACTGGCTCCTCTTAATGTGGAGGAGCAGCGGCTCTACTCTGAGTCCCTCCTGGATGACCGAGCTTCTCACCCTATCTCTAAGGGAGAGCCCAGCCACCCTACGAAGGAAACCCATTTTGGCCGCTTGTATCCGCGATCTTGTTCTTTCGGTCATTACCCAAAGCTCATGATCATAGATGAGGGTAGGAACGTAGATCGACCAGTAAATCGAGAGCTTCGCTTTCTGGCTCAGCTCTCTCTTCACCACGACGGACCGGTACAGCGCCCGCTTCACGGCAGAAGCGGGGCTAATTCGTGAACAAGATCCCAAGATACTTGAACTCCTCCGCTTGAGGCAGGACACCCCCCTCGACTCGGAGAAGGCACTCTACCCTTTTCCGGCTCAAGACCATGGCTTCGGATTTGGAGGCACTGATCCTCATCCCTGGGTTCCTGTCTAAAAAAGAAATTCAAATAATTGACTCTTTTTTTTTTTTTTAACAATGCGATCAGCTTTATTGGAAGTGGATGGAAAACAGTGCACTGATATACGACTCAGCTGCGAACCGCTCCAGCGAGAGCTGCAGATCACGTCCCGATGAAGCCAATAGGACCACATCATCCGCAAAAAGCAGAAATGTAATCCTAAGGCCACCAAATCGGATCCCCTAAAAACCTTGGCTCCAACACCGGTCATAATGACAGCCAGTATCAAAGGGCCCGGTACACCATACTCCCGGAGAACCCCCCACAAGGCACCCCGAGGGACGCGGTCAAACGCCTTCTCTAAGTCCACAAAACACTTGCAGACCGGCCCACACACCCTCCAGGACCCTGCTGAGGGTGTAGAGTTGGTCCAGTGTTCCACGACCAGGACCAGAACCACAATGCTCTTCTAGAATCCGAGGTTCAACTATCCGACAGACCCTCCTCTCCATGACCCCTGAATAGACCTTGCCAGGGAGGTTTAAGAGTGTGATCCCTCTATAATTGGAGGATACTCTCCAATCCCCCTTTTTGAACAGGGGGACCACCACCCCAGGCCTGGCTCCAGAGTGGGGCCCCGGTGTCCGATGTCCAGGTGAGGGAACACTAAATCCAAAGTTGCCATTTATCATTGGGGTGTTTGGGCTGCGCTTTGTCTGGTCCCTCACCTAGGACCTGTCTTTCTTGGGTCACCCTACCAGGGGCAAGAAGCCCCAGACAGCTTAGCTCCTAGGATCATTGGGGCCCTCAGACCCCTCCTCCACCATCAGGTGTCAGCCAGAGGAGGAGAGGCAGCAACACACACAACACAAAAATTCACACAGTTACAAGGAAATGTTGGCTTGTGTTTGGCTCTGGCTCTGGAGACACTATGAACCTTTTCAATGAAGTTTCTTTGATCTTCCATGAAACCTGTCAGTCTCACTCACCATGTCAACATCCATCCTGGATGAAGTCGGTCTGGAAAATGGATGGATGGTCAGTGGTGGATGTCAGTAAAAGGTCGTCGGAGTTTATACTTCAAAGTGTGAATAATAAGTAAACAGACTTTAACTAGACCCGCCGCTTCTATAGCTCAACCATTTTTATTTCGTCTATTGTAAAACTCTGTCACATGCGCTGACATTTCACTTGGTGTTATAGATTAACATTTCACGTGTCTAAGAAGTTTGAAAAGTTTTGTAATAAATACCCTGAATGTAAACATAATTAGATTTTTTACATCAATGTTGATCAGCAGTTTTTGAAACGTAAAAAGAAAAAGGCAGATCTGATCTCCCTCCATCCATCAGAGCAGCTGCACATGAAACCTTTTCTTTGGTTTAACTGAGGAATAATAAAAATGATTCATTTTTTGTCACCAGGTCTACTTTGGAAAAGTTGCTGCATGTTCAAATCAATACTTGATTGCATTAAAACAAGTATTTTTTAGATGGTCAAAGTAAAATGTTTCAATTTTAAATGAAATATTTTCAAGCATTAATTAATTCATTCATTATGTATTCATGGTCTTTTGCAGCTGCTTGTAACCAACAAAATTGACGTAACGAAAATTACGGAGAGAGAGAAATACGAGAAGAATCGATTTGATGAGCTTCAGTTCGCTGAGACTTTTCTTTCTCTTCTTTCTCTTCTTTCCAGATCGAGCTGCACCTGCAGCGTCTCTGTGATCCAGGCTTGAATTTGGATGACTGTTGATGAAATGCCTGAATGTAGAAACAATTTCATGCTCTGCAAAACTTCAACATCTCTGACAGGGCGAGTTCCGCGGCATGAGTTCATCTCTTCACCAAGAACCCCGCAGTTCCACAGCAGGACCGACGATCTGAGACCCACGAGCTGCAGCGAAAGGGACAGCAGCAGCTTGCTCGACTATTCACTGTCATCCGCTGGGGTAAAGAGGGTAAAGAGGGTAAAGAGGGTAAAGAGGGTAAATTTGTGAATATTTGATGGGGTATGAAGGAGTTTATTTTGAAAGGTGTAGCCTGAGATTGTAACCCTTCCTCCGTGTTCCCTGTGCCTCCTGCTTTTCTCGATTTTACACTTCAAATGAAAACACAAAATAGTTTATATAAATAACGCTTAGTTTGTAACATAACGTCGTTTATAAACAAAATATTAAGAATATTTAATTACAAACCGTGTAAACATGACATTTTTAAAATGTAATTCGTAATATTTTATCCTTAAGAACATTTACGGAACATTTTACCGAATTTATTGAGACTCTTGCTGCCATACAAAAAATGAAATGTCTCGAAGCTTTGACTAGGACAACACATCTCAGGACGAATAACGTTCTTTTATCTTATTTATCCATCGTTGCATTTAGACTTGGAAGAAATTAGTTGGACCAATCAGAACTTTAGGTTTTTTTCTTTGAAGTTTCTGGCAAACAGCAGCAGACGAACTGAACTGATGGCTGACGTCATCTAGCGATCCGCGGCTCTTCATGAAGGAATCAGTCTGAATTTGACAAACATCACCAGCTGTTGCTCCGTGGTGGACAATATGAGAAGAAGGAGGGTCCAGTAGGGGGGTCCAGTAGGGGGATCCAGTAGGGGGGCCCAGCAGGGGGCCTGTAGTAGAATTATTGCAGCCGAACTTTTCTGTCCTGGTTTCGGCAGAACCTGAAGTTCAACACGCAACTTTGATTAAGTTCAGCTTTCTGTTGAAAATCTTTGGCAGTTTTTTGTTTCCTTTTTATCGGTGACATTTCTGATCCTGATCCCACCGAGCCGGGCTGCGGTGTTCCGGTCCGGTCCGGTCCGGGTCCGGTCCGGTCCGGTCCGGTCCAGCTCAGCTCAGCTCTCAGTCGCTGTCCTCTTTGTCCTGCGGGATGGTTGTGGTTGAATGGTTGTAGAGTCCCTGCGCCATCAGCTGCAGCGCCAGGCCGTTCTTCAAGCCGCTGGCCTTCTTTATCTTGGCCCTTTTGTTCTGGAACCAGATTTTGATCTGAGCCTCGTTGAGGTCCAGTTCCCGGGCCAAAGCCTGCCGCCGCTGCTCCGTGATGTAGCGGTTGAGCTGGAACTCGGCCTTCAGCCTCTGGAGCTGCTGCGCAGTGAAGGCCGTGCGCGGCCGCTTGTCTTCTTTGCAGCTTTTACATTTTTTCGATTTCCGCGTCCTGGGGCCTGCAGCAAGAGCGAGACGGCAAAGAGAAAATATGAATTACAATCTCACAAGAGTCAGAGAAAATACCTTCTATATCCTTCAGCAAGTTTTTCAATTTTAGCATCGGACACACGGCTTCAGAACCGAACCGAACCGAACCGCGTTAAAAACCCGAAGCGGATCTGACCTGAAACTTTAGAGACTAAACATGGAGCCACAACATGGTTCTGTCCCCAGACGTCTCGAGTTCAAAGGTCACAGCAAAACAAACTCATTCATATCTTTAAATGTTACAAAGCAGAAAGTTCTAAACCACAATAATTAATCTATAACCTACAAGATGAAATATTATTATTATGATTGGGTTTAATGATTCAATGTGTCCTAAAACCAGTTGCATAAAAAGGAAATTCATTTAGTTTTATGATTGCAAAACTGAGTAAAAAATGATGTTTAGTGAATAATTTCTTCCTCCCCGTTTTATCTGTTTATCTATTTATTAGATTTTTCTTTTTGCTTTATTTTAGTTGTTGTTGTTTCTCGTTTTGACAACATTCTGATCCAATATTAGCATCAATGTGGAAAATATGAAGAAAAGCAGGCAGTGAGCCGGAAACAGCACACACACCTGAGACCATCCCTCTGCACCTTTACACAGCATGTCATTATTATTATTATTATTATTATTATTATTATTATTATTATTATTATTATTATTATTATTATATTATTATTATTATTATATTATTATTTCTTCTTCTTATTATTATTATTATTATATTATTGTTATTATTATTATTATTATTATTATATTATTATTATTATTATTATTATTATATTATTATTATTATTATATTCTTATTATTGTTATTATTATTATTATTATTATATTATTATTATTATATTATTTCTTATTATTGTTATTATTATTATTATTAATATTATTATTATATTATTATTATTATTATATTATTATATTCTTATTATTGTTATTATTATTATTATTATATTATTATTATTATTATTATTATATTATTATTATTATTATTATTATTATATTATTGTTATTGTTACTATTATTATTATTATTATTATTATATTATTGTTATTATTATTATATTGTTATTGTCACTATGATTATTATTATTATTATTATTGTTGTTATTTTTATATTATTGTTGTTGTTATTAATACATGACATGTTTTATAAATGATTAAATGGTGTTTTATTCAGTTTATGTATGTTAAGCTTTATCTGTTCCTATCGAATAAACTTCATAAAATCAAATGAAAATAAGATTACAATTCATTTCACACATTCAGCTGACAAACGGATCTTTTGCTCAATATTAGACAAAAACAAAGAGGATTCAGGTTTGACGAATCAAATGAAATGTCTTTTAAATAACAATTTACTGTAACTATATTGTTCCCTTGTAGCTTGTTTTCCTTCTTCATTTATTTGATTTAAATCTTTTCCAAATTCGAATTAAGGATTCATTTTAGAATATACGTAAGCAAAAATAGTTTATTTTACAATATAATGCAAAATATATTTTTGTTTTACGCACAAAAAGGTAAAATAGAATGTCAGTTAGTGAGTGAAGCAGGTTTATTGTAAACTTCCATCTTTCAGTGAAAATGTATTTAATAAAATCTCATGTATTTTTGGAAAGTCTGTGTAAATGCATATGGTTTGTTTGATCCAAATTAAACATGTAAAATCTGTTGTAACATTTGGCATCAGATCCCGCTCGACTGGAATCTGGTTATGAATCTGTCTTACCAGAAGAAGGCCTGTCAGAGTACCGGGTACAGTAGACCCAAGCGGGCCAAAGCAGGGCCTGGCCCTCCGGTGTGGGGGTCCGGGTCCCGGTCCGAGTCCCGGTCCCGGAGACAGAATGTTCCCCGTCCTTCTCCTCATATTTGAACCCTCCGCTGTTCCCGTCAGAGCCCGCGGTGCCGGTCCCTCTGTCGCTGCTGACCGCAGACACGGTGGAGGATGAAGTGCTGTCGCTGCCGCAGCTGCTGCAGCTGCTGCTGCTGCTGCTGCTGCAGCTGCAGTCCAGGCACGGTGTTCTGGAAAACGGTCCACCAAGAACCGGCTGGACCCGCTCCAGACCTGAGCTTTGAGCCTTCTCTCTCGGACTCAGACCGAATTCCTTCTTGCATCCGAAATCCGGCCGTAAAATGTTGTCAATGAAGAAGTTTGTGGTTGTGTTGGTCAGTGGACCGGCCTGCAGAGGCAGGACGGCCAGCGACGGGGAAACGCGTTCCCCATCGCTGCTGTTCAGGTCCCGCTGTTCTTCCATCAATGCCTCTGAAAAAAAGTGTGTTCTTATAAAAATACATCTGTGTCCACATGTGTCAAGAGAGAGAATTACAACATGATATTTAGATTTTTGCTTCAAGACATGGTGAAAACAGACATGCAACGCGTCAGTGACGTTTTAGAAGACTGGCTGTCCTGCTGTTACGCACAGCTTTGGCGCACTGACGGATTTCCACCTCTTTTCTTAAGTCTGCACGCAAATCTCCACACTCACCATCCGCCAAGGCATCGCCAACATCCAGAACGGCCAATCACTGCTCGTGACACTCTCAACACAGAATGACGATGTCCAATTAGGCCACGCGTCTCTGATCCAAAAGTAGAAGAGAATGGCATGAAGCCGCTTCAGAGGGAAGAGTCACAGCTCTGCTGTCTGCAGCCAGCAGGTCCAGAATATGCGCCACAATCAGACCCAAACATGCACGCATATTTTACACTGAGTGTTAATTTTGGAGGTGATGTTTAAAAGTCTTATCAGTTATTGCTGTTAACAAACAGGTTTTTTTTTCTTGTCAGCATTTTTTTTTTTTTTTTTGCATTTTGTGAATATGTTTGTTCTTTTGTTCACTAAATTGATTTGTGACACATCTAAGTAGATACGACTCGTTCTACAGTGAGTTTTGGTAGAGGGACAATGTTATCTACAACATCACCGCCTCACCTAACTGTCCCAGAACAGCAGGACATTCCCAGTAAGACTAATGAGGTGAGGCTGATTTATTTGTTGATCACAATGTTCAAGCTTCTTATATCTCTTCCCCTAGAAAGATAGAAAATTCAGTCACAGAAAAGTTAGTCAGATAAACTAACCAGTGCAGAGGATGCAATCTACAACAACCTCACATAACTCACCAAGGTGATGCCAAAACAAAAAATGATTTTTGTGGGGAAGTAAGTGTCAAATGCTCTGTTCGTGAATGTGTCAATGTATTTGAAAAAGAAGAATGTTAGCATGTTAGCATTGCAGATCCGCCTGGTGACATTATGGACAATGGGAAGAGCCAGAGATGCAGTGACCCTTTAACTCAGTGTTGAACAGCAGCCAGAAGCAATTTTTGCTATTCTCAAATAACACTTCAGTGACATCACATAGTCATGCATGCCTCTCACTGACTTCTACTGCAGACTTCTCATAGTAATGAGAGTCCCATTGATCGCTGGGACCGTCTGACATGCAGCTGACATAGCTGAGGAGTGTCTCAAAAAAAAAGTTTAGGTGCCATCGGTAAAGAAGTGGCCTTGATGTTTGTGAGACACTGCAACTAAACTTCATTATCTCTTGTGTTCAAAAGCAAATTGGCAGACAGTTGGACAGCTAAAGAGGTTCAAGAGAGGCTTGATGAATAGCAGAAAATTTTTTTAATACAAAGTAAATCTGCAGTTCCTTCAGACAAGCTGTTTCAGTAATGAGCAATGCAGGAAGCAGGGAGAACTGAGGCAGAAGTTATGATGCGTTCCCACAAGCAGAACATGAGTCAGCCCCAACAAAGAAAGAAAGGAATTGACTGCAATACAGAAGAGCATAGAGAAGATGGCTGACAGGCTTAGCGACATATTGAATAGTCTGATTACTTCTTCAAGGTCTGCTGCTTTCTGAGGCCACAGTTAGTCATTCCAGAGAAGGAGGATCTCGGGCTCGGGGCTCTGAAGTTGTAGCAGCTCTCACTCTACCATCGTGTGTCACCAGGCTGGACACATGAAACATCGGTGTCCTGACTGCTACATGCCGTGGATGGGGAACTTGTTCTCACACCTTTTTTAGGGCACAACACATCAACACATGTTGATGTGTCCAAGAAATAATTGGTTGTCAATAAGCTCTGTTCTCCTAATGCACAGAGCCATGAATCTATCATCTGACCAGAAGTAACTGTCGCTGGAAATTTTTTTCCATTATGTCCAACGCTGTGCTGGGATTTAGGACGCTCCTCTTGCTAGCAACATAAAAGAAGAAACATGCAGTAAGATCTAGGTACATCCTGTAAATCTATTTCTGAACGTTTTCGTTGCCGCTCGGCAAAATAATAAATTTAGTCGAATTTCATAATTTCTTTTCTGTCAAAAATGAGATTACAGGAAAGCTTAAAAAACAAGTAACATATTTAAATATAGAAAATTTGATTCATCAGTATCAGAACGTTTGAGAAGCTAAACTCACATTTGTAGCAGATTCACAATGAACAACCGTCGGCAACTTCAAACTACAGTAACCATGTGGAATAAAGCTGTGAAAGAGAGACACCTGCTGGCGCAACGAGAGCACTGCATTTTTAATGGCTGTCAGTTTTTTCTGAGCCCAAACAGCAACGAGAAAAGTAAACGATCAATGTTATTAATTTCTATATTATTTTTCACTGATCTGAAAGCACTTCTCAAATCATGCATTTTCTTAAAAAAGGGTTGAAATAATTTTCACACAATGTTTTTTTAATAGTATACTTTCATTTTTTTTCTTTTTTATGGGTTAGCGTAAAAAATGTTTATTGCTTTTCTCTCCTTCTGATTCCAGGAAAAATCAGAGGAAATAAGATAAGCAATCATGACAGCATGATTACCACACTGATGGGATTCATAAATCATGCACAGAGCAAGAAGGATAATAAGCTCAAATGAAGCTGACTGGAAAAATCCCATTGTGTCTTTTTCTGAGAAGAATGGACTTCAGCTGCAGATCAGAACTGGTTTGACTTGCTAATTTTAGTTGATCATCTTTTCAATATGAACAATAGTTACCTAAACTTGGAGGCATTCACTCTTCTCAAATGAACTTTGCTTTCTCATAGTACTGAGGAAAACTGGACCAAGATAGAGCAGAAGTTCACAAAGAATGAGACTGTTGACTATGTTCTCCTTTCTTTAATTCCTCTTCCTTTGACTTAAGACAAAGGTCAAAATTATGGTTTAGGTTTTTAATAGGCAATCAAAAAGGTTCTTGAGAATTAAAAAGACTTTTAGATCTGCAAATATGGCATAATTTAATGGCTTTACTTAGCAAACTAGGCTTGCTTTACTTAGTTTAAGACACAAATGACTGGAAAAGATTTTATTTCTGCTGATCATTTCTATGAGTTAAATTTCCAATATTTATTTTCTGTCAATAAATAGCAAACATTATTTCCCCAGTACGGATTTTTGAAATGAAAGGGAGGTTTAAAAATTCACCAATAAAATTAAATGCATATTATTGATAATCAAGGCTGTGCTAACTTTGATAGCAAGTAAAATTGGTTGTTAGAGAGATGAAAGTCATTTACAAATACTCATTATTATATTTCTCATCAGCTGTTTCCCAATGAAAATCAGTTCAGGTCAATTTTCTCTCTATTAATGAACTTCATTAACGCTTGTAAATGTTTTACATATAATTTGGATTCCCCAAATGCAGAAATGTTACAGAATTTAAATGTTTTAGAATATTACTGTAAATGAGATTTACTGTTTGACTTAAAAGTGCAGTCGGGGATCTACTGTGCATTCAAACATTTTGAACACATATTGGCTGGAAACCTTCAGTGCTTCAAAAAGCTTTCTGAGGACATAAATCAATCTGGAGGCAGTCGGAGAAATTCAGCGATTAGAAAATTTCATTGACTTAAATGAATTAAAGTTCTTTGCCCTGGTGAGAAATAGATATACTAAGTATCTTAAATGTTAATATACTTCAGCATACTGTAAGTCAGACTGATCATCAGTATACTTCAAGTTCACTTAGTATTCGATAACTTAAAGTGTGACATTTTGGAACAACTAATTTTGGGCATAGTGTATCTTATTAGTATTGAAATTGTACTAAAGCACAATTTAAAGTGCACTTCAGCAATCTATTTTTGGAGAACATAAGTTAAACCGAGTATACTTGAAGTGTATTGCTATTTATGTAATAAACATGCATGATTAGTATATTTTGAGCATATTTTTTGTGAGTGAATTACATTTAAAATATACTTAAAATGTATTTTAAGAATATTGGCATTATATATGTTATATATTAGTGGTGTGATTACAGTATGCTACAATTATACTTTTGGTTTATTATAATTGCTAATGAAGTAACTTTTTAATTAATTCATGTCTTTTATTATTCTGCTTTGCCACTTTGTGATTTACATGCTTCATACACTAAAAAACATCAGGCTACCAGAACACAGAAGGATCAAGTACAACATACTTTTAACCAGAGGTCACCAACATGGGGGCCGCGGGCATCCGGTCGCCCGCTGGGACCTTGTCAGTCGCCCGCGGAGCTACTTCTAAAAATAGCCATTATCATCAGGGAGCACGACCAAAACATGATTTAATTAAATGTTTTTACATTGAAGTAATAAAGTTTGTTTATATTTAGAGTTCAAAAGAGCGAAATGATAAAAACAAATAAGTTGCTTTATGTATAAAATTCTTTCCTGCTGTTAAAGTTCAGAACTGCGCAGGCGCCTGCAGGAAACTATCGGAGGGCAGCAGCGCCTGCAGCTGCGCTCTGTGTACCTTGACATTTTCCTTTAAGTAAAGAAAGAAAAGAATAACTTCTGGAATTTTATTATTTAACCCTATTTACTATTAAAATTGTGAAGAATAAATAAATAAATTGTGCCAAAACATCTTATTCGTAGCGTACATCTGCCTGAGTCTCTGAGGGTGAGCACCCAAAGCCCAAATCTTTTTGTTAGATTTACTTTTTGTTTATTTGGCAGCTTGGTGCTTTTTCTGTAAATTAATGACAAGAGTTTGAACCTCCCACAGTTCTAAGAGGTTGTTTGGATCCAGGTGGAGCTTTTTACCGTGTTCGGTTCTGGCGGGTCGTCAGTTCATGAGCTTTGATGTTTCCCGAACTAGAGAGCTGATGGGTCACCTGACGGCTGATACCTGCTGCTAGGACTGTGGGTTAAGCCATTTAATCTAGTCAAAGTAGAGTAGAAATAAAGCAAACAGCTTCACCGTCTCGTTCTCTGGACGTCTAACACCACCTTCACCTGGGAACCAACACCTGATCCTGGGAACCAACACCTTCACCTGGGAATCAACACCTTCACCTGGGAACCAACACCTGATCCTGGGAACC